TGGCTTTGAACCGCGATCCTCAGATCTCAGCCTCCTGAGTAGCTAGGATTACAGGCGTGAGCCACCAGCGCCCGGCTTTTTGCCTTGGAATTTTCAAGGCAAAATCTCCCCCATCATCATGCCCTGGGATGCAATCTCCTACGTGTGCTGTCTGCGGCTGGGGCAGCAGACCTGCCTTGCTGCGCCTGGCCTTCGCTTGTGATGGACTCTCAAGCATATATATATATTTCCGTTTTGTCAGTCATAGGGCTACAACTCTGGGCCTGGGCAGTCCCTGAGCTCTTTTTCTCAAGGCTAGCACTCTATCACTTTGAGCCATGGCACCACTTCTGGTTTTCTGGCGGTTACTCAAGAGATTTGAGTCTCACAGACTTTCCTGTCCAGGCTGGTTTTGAACTGTGACCCTCAGACCTCAACCTCCTGGGTAGCTGGGATTACAGGCGTGAGCCACCAGTGGCACCTGGCCTCTCAAGCACTGTACTTTTATGCACGAGCTGACCTCCCATTGTGATCCCCAGAGCTCCACCTCCCCAGAAGCCTGGACTATGAGCATCAACCACTGTGCTGGGCAGGTTGCATTTTTCCTTTTTTTCTCGCTTTGCTGGGGCGAGGGGGAAGTTGTACCTGCCAGGCAAGGGCCACCCCCCCAGCCCCCCTCAGGGTACCTGGGAGGCCCTGGGCCACCACACAGAGGCCCATCCCACCCACACCCTGCCCAGCTGGCCTGCAGGAGCCGCCTACGTGGCTGTGCTGAGCCGAGCACAGGGCCTCGAGCGCCTGGAGTCTGTTCTCCGCCACCAGGAGCTTCTCCCGAAGCCCCTCGGCCTCCGCCTTGCTCTGGGCTTCGGCCCGCTGCAGCAGCTCGAAGTCCAGCATTTTCTTTTCGGCCAGGGCGATCTGCTGCTTGAGGAACTCGATGGCCTGCGCCTGGCCGCGGTACTCCACATCCAGCCCCTCCAGCTCCTGCACGCGTAGCTGGGCATCCCGGCACCGGTCCTGAGCCTCCTGCAGCTCCTGCCGGTGCTGTGCGGCCTGGGCCTCCAGCTGGGCCTGCCACTGCTGCCCGAGGCCAGCCAGCTCGTCCTGGGCCTCCTGCAGCTTCTGCTGCAGGCCCTCCTTCTCCTTGGCGTGCATGGCTGTCTCCAGGTCCTGCTTGGCACGCAGATTGCCCAACTCCAGCTGGTGCTCCATTTTGATACCCTCTATCACAGCCTTCAACTCTCCGATCTCCTTCTGCTGGGCACCCGGGCCCGAGCTCAGCGTGGCCTTGAGCCCCTCCAGGGACTTCTGGTGGTCAGAGGCCAGCGAGTCCAGCCTGGACTTCCAGTTGTCCATGAGGCCCATGTTCTCGTGCGTGGCCTGCCGCACCTTGGCCTTCAGGTCGGCCACCTCCTGCGCGTACTTCTCGTTGGCCGCCCGCAGCCTGTCCGCCTCGGCCTGATAGGCCTTCAGCGCCTCCTCATACTTGTCCCGGAGCGCGCTGCCCTCTGGCTGCCGCTCCTGGCTGGACAGCAGCCGCTCCCGCAGCCGCAGCGCTTCGGCAGCCTCGGGGTGGTCCGCAGGCAGCGGCCCTGACTGCAGCAAGCACTGCTGCAGCTCCTGGATCTCACCGCGCCGCAGGCTCAGCTCCTCCTCCAACTGCAGAACCCGAGACTTCTCGGCCACCGTGGTCAGCTGTTGGGAGAGAAAGGGTGGGAGTCAGGTCGCAGGTCGGGAGCCCATCCCAGCTACTCGGGAGGCTGAGACCCGAGGACCGAGATTCAAAGCCAGCCCAGCTGGAAATGTCCACGAGCCTCTGATCTCCAACTGACCACCAAAAAGCCAGACATGGAGCTGTGGCTTAAGTAGTAGAGTGCCCGCCTTCAATAGAAATGCTAAGGGGCAGCACCCAGGCCCTGAGTTCAAGCCCCAGTATCGGCACAAAGAGTGGTCAGCAGCCGGCTGGACCGCAAGAGGACACATATCAGCTGGGGAAAAGGCACCCCTCCCTCCTGGGCACTGGCTGCACCCTAATAATGAGGAAGCCACATGTGTGGGCAAGAGAAGCCAGCATCTCGTGCCTAAGGGTTGTGCAAGCTAGGCAGGCGCTCTACTGCTTGAGTTGTGTCTCCAACCATTTTTGCTTTTGGTGTTTACAGACAGGATCTTAAACTTTTTTTTTTTAAACTGGAGGCCAGACTAAGACTGTGATTCTCCTACCTCCTCCCGAGTGGCTGAGATTATAGGTGTGCACCACTATGCCTGGTCAAGCTAATGCTAGTTCCAATAGGCAGAGTCCAGAGTAGCTTTGCCATCCCCTTACTCTAGAGGCCCCAACATGAGTGGCTGGTACCCAGAGGGGCAGGTAGGAGGGGTGGCCGAAGGGGCAGGTTTCAGGCCTCCAGCAAAACAGACCTGTTGGGCGTCTCTACCCTCCCAAAGGGCCCCTGATCACGTCAGTGGTCACAGATCTGGAAATAGCTTCTTTAGAGGTTCTCCTGCTGGGCTGGGAAGGTGGCTCTGTGGTAGTGTTTGCCTTGCATGCATGAGACCCTGGGGTCGATTACTCATCACTACAGAAGCAGAAAAAGCCAGAAGTGGTGCTGTGATTCATGTGGTAGAGTGCTAGTCTTGAGAACAAAAGAAGCTCAGGGATAGTGCCCAGGCCCTGAGTTCAAAACCCAGGACTGGCAAAAAAAAGAAAAAAAAGAAAAAGAAAGAATTCCCCCTGCTTCTCTGATATGAGGACTGAACTTGGGGTTTTCCAGCCACATAACACCCCATCCTGCATTTGTGTGCATTCGCATACATTTGCATGTACACCTGCCATGGAATCTGGGGCCTGGTGCATGCTGCATCAATCTACCCTGGGGCTACAGCCCTAAGGCCTGTTAAAGTTTTGAAACCAGCTCTAGCCTGGGCTAGCATCCATTTTCTTGCTTCAGCCTCCCCAGTGCTGGGATTACAGGCCTGCCCATGCCACCTGTGTGGATGGGGTTGGCCACTTGGAGACTGGATGGGTGTGAACGCAGCTTCGTGCACACGGATGCTGAGCCGTGGCTGTGTGAAGGACGCCCGTGTCTGCAGACACCCGCACAGTACATGCTCTTTCCCCATGGCCGTCAGCGGCCCTCCAAGTGCGTGCCACTCCTTGGAACTCATGGCGCCTCATGCCCATGGCAGCCTTCCTGGACTCCCCATTTCACTGGGTGCTGCAGTCGGTCCTAGGACCCTAGGGCCCTGCAGATGGGGGGGATCTCGGCAAGTAGGCGGGTAAACACCCAGGGACCCCAGCTCCCACAGCCCCAGCTGTGTTTGGGAATATCTGCTTCCTCCGGAGAACAGGACGCGGCGAGAGCAGCCAGAGGCAGAGAGGAGGTGGAAGGGTGGCGGGGCCGGGCGGGCACGGCGGGCAGCAGGCGCATTATTACCCTGTTGTCCGCTAACTCCCTGAGCAGCCGCTCGGCCTGCGCCTTCTCCAGTAGCAGGCTCTGTTCCAGCTCCCCAATGCGAGCGTGCTCCAGCTGGGTCTGGGTCTGGCTCCACCCAGAGACAGGGGAACGGGGACAGGGAACACAGGGACAGGATGGGAGAGGAAAGCCAGAGAGAGACAGACAGACAGACAGAGAGAGACAGAGAGAGAGAGGAGAGGAGAGAGAAAGGAGGCGTCATCGTCCACGAGCTGACAGCACAGGTAACAGAGGAGCGGGAATGGCTCGGGAGAGGTGTGGGGGAGCAGGCGGTGCCCACTGCCCATGCGGCCGGGCTGGGGTGCCACGCGCCCCTCCCTGGAGGCCCTCAGTCCTTTGTTCACTCAGCTTGGGGCCTGGCATTGGTCTCAGGCACGTGGGACCCCAGGATTCCTGGCACCCCAGGGGAAGTTGTGAACATTTCGACCCACGACTGCCCGGGCTGGGCTGAGGCAGGGCCAGGCTCCATCTCCATCCCTGCCCCAGGCCCCCACCACATGAGCACAACACCACTTTGTCCCCAGCTTCCCACACCCGTGCCGGGCCAACAAAGCCACATATTCTTGGGCTGGTGAGCCTGGCATTTGGACTGCCCGTGATGGCTCCCCAGCGCGGCGGTGGGCGAGGGCAGCACTGGCGGAGAAGCAGCCTGACCCGGGCGAGGCGGGATGGAGACGCTGCTGAAGAGATGAAGAGAAAGGCTGCAGGCAAGCAGCATGTGGGGGCCTCACAGAAATCCTGCACCCCGACCGCCAGGACCCCGCCCTCCTCACACACCAGTGATCTAGAAATGACACACAGTACAGGCAGAGGTGGGCATGGTGGGGCACATCTGTAATCCCTGCACTTGGGAGGCTGAGACAGGCTGACTTTTTGCCTGGGCTAGCCTCAGACCTCAATCCACCAGATCTCATCCTGGGCAGTCACTGGGATTACAGATGTCAGCCACTGCACCTGGCCACCTAGGGATTGTCTTCCTGCAGCTTTGCTGACCACACAACAACCAAACAAGCAAACCCTGACATGGAAGAGAGAACAAGGCCTGGTGCCATGTTGCCCAGTGGCATCCAGCAGAGCGAGGCCCACAAGTTAGACCCCAAAAGGGGGCCTGTGCCGCTTGGGAAGGGGAGACTCCTGGGGCAGGGGAGGGGCTCCCCGTTTTCCAGCTCCAACCACTTGCCCGCGCCTCATAGTCCACGCCTAAAGGGGAAAGAGGCTTCACTTCTGACGTCCACTGGGGCCTCAGCCACCAGGCGGCCAGCTGAGTTCTCTAAAGATAGTTGATTCTAGGCTGAGCGCACTGACGCACACTGCAGTCCCAGCATTCTGGAGATGGACGCAGGAGGATGGCCAGCCTGGGCTATGTAAGAAAACTGAATCTCAAAACAGCTTTGGCTGGGCTGGGAAGGTGGCTCAGTGGTAGAGCGCTTGCCTTGCATGCATGAGGCCCTGGGTTCGATTCCTCAGCACCACAGAAGCAGAAAAAAGTTGGGAGTGGTGCTGTGGCTCAAGTGGTAGAGCGCTTGCTGTGAGCTGAAGAGCTGAGGGGCAGTGCCCAGACCCAGAGTTCAGGACCCACAAGTGGGGGGTGAGGGGGGTGCAGCAGGGAAGCTTTGGCACTGGCAGCTCACACTCCTCATCCCAGGAGGCTGAGATCAGGTTCAAGGTTCAAAGCCAGCCCGGGCAGGAAAGTCCATGAGACTCTTATCTCCAATTAATCACCAGAAAAACAGAAGTAGAGCTGTGGCTCAAAGTGGTAGAGCATTAGCCTTGAGCAAAAGAGCCCAGGGACAGTGCCCAGGGCCCTGAGTTCAAGCCCAGGACTAACAACAAAAAAAGCTTTGGCTTAGCCAGTGCATAGAAGTTCACACAACTCCATCTCAACTGATATTTGGGCATGGTGGCAAAGCCTGCCATCCCAGCAATGCCGGGCGCAGTGCAGGAGTCTGTTGCCCCAGCAACACTGGGAGGCACAGCAGGGCTGCAGCCCAGGCTGGCCAAGGCATAAATGGAGACTCTACCATAACAAAAAGGGGCTGGAGGCATGGCTCAAGCAGCAGAGCACCACCTTAGCAAGCTTCAGTTCAAACCCCAAGTACTGCTGAGAAAAGGCACAGAACGTGGAAGCTGAGAGGCATTCAGGGGTCGGGCTTCACTGACGCTGGGTGGTGGAGGGCTGGCACTCAAGCATTTTGGGGTGCAGGAAGGGGGGCTGGGAACCCACAGGGATGAGAAGCTGTGCAGGGTTCCTTCTGGAGCCAGGGGCGCCATCTGGGAGCTGTGGACGCCCCAACCATTGTGGGAACCCCTGCCCCGAACCCCACCTCCAGCTGCCGACTCAGGCTGGGGTCAGGGCAGAGCCAATCCCATCTTGGGCCCCAGAACAGCTCATGACCTCCAACCTTCTGCATTAACACCCTCCCGCAGCCCGGGGCCCGCACTGCGGCCCATACCTCCAGGTCCCCCTTGGTGATGGACTCCTCCTCCACACGGAACTGCAGGTCCTCTACTTTCCTGTGGGCAGAGAAAGGGGATCTGCCAGGGTGGGAGGGAGGCAGGCTGGCACATGGGGTAGTAACTACAGATCTCATCATGGCGAGGAGGAAAGGAGAGCTGGGCGTTCATCCATGGGTCCCCCAGCTCCATTCTGGAGCCCCCGGGCCCTCCAGTGAGAATCGGGGAATGAGTACATGAACAGGCACAAGCTCATATCACACACAATTACAGTTTTGACAGCCCTGAGCAGGCCAAGTGAGAGGAGGCCAGAGAGGGCAAGCAGCCTGCTCAAGGTCACACAGCGAGGCAAGGCCACAGCCAGACTCGCGGTGAACACAACTCCCATGAGCCTCCCAGAGTGATTCGTGTGTCAGCATCAGTGTGTCACCATGGAAACCAGATGTACAGGCCCGGATGACCCACCCAGGGGTAAAAATACACCCTCATCTCCCAGCCAGAAGGCAAGGGCGGCTGGCGGACGCTCTTCTGGGCTGAACGCCCGAAACACAGATGTGAGAGGAGGTATGGGGTTAAGGGGAGAGGAGGGGAGACACAGAAGTCCCCATCACCCCAGAGAAGAGGAGAGGCCGGGCCTCCTCCACAGGCAGGGCAGGAATGGTGGCAGGGCCGCACCCTCTCTCTCTGTGGGCGCTGACCTTGCGGAGACTGGGGTGGAGAGAAATTTCTACACCACTCCTCGGGTCTGATGAATGATCCTGACTGGGCTCTGGGCCTCAGTTTCCCATCTGTGACTCGGGCTGGCCCTGCCTCCAATCTGGTTTCTGGGCGGGGTGATGGCTACCATTGCACAAGACTCTGTCCCGGCCCAAGAGGCCGCCCTCCCTCCCCGGCCCCCAGGATGCCCAGCACTGGGCAGGGCAGGGCGGGAGGCCTCCCTCCATGCCAGTGTGTGCAAGGTCCCAGGTGCTCGGCCTGTAGGTGGGTGACTCAGCCAGCCCGGTAGCACCCACCTCCTCTCCTCCTCCAGCTGGTTGCACAATTCCACCTTCTCCTTCCGTGCGCTGTCCACCAGCAGCCGCGCCCGCTGGAGCTTCTCCTCTGCCTCTGAAACGTACTGCGGCCCCAGGGCCAGGCAGGGTGAGCTCCCCAGACCCCAGGGCAGGGAGGGCCCTACAGCACGGCCATCCTGCCTCCCTCCAAACTCTAGCACACAAACAAGGCCACAGCGGTGCAGCGCCAGTGACCCTGAGGTTCACATGGCTGCAAGAGCTGCCATACCTGCATCCCTCATCAGAGGCAGACCGGCCTGGGGAAGGCCCCTCTCACAGGGAACTTAGCTTTATGACTTTGCCTGAGGTTTCGGTTGTTGTTTTCTATACTGGTAACAGGGCTTGAACTCAGGGCCTCTAACTTGGCTTTTTTTTTTTGGATCTGGTCGTGGGGCCTGAACTCTGGGCCTGGGCGCTGTCCCTCAGCTCTTCAGCTCAAGGCTAGCGCTCTACCACTTGAGCCACAGCGCCACTTCTGGCTTTTTTCTTATGTGGTGCTGAGGAATCGAACCCAGGGCCTCATGCATGCAAGGCAAGCGCTCTACCACTGAGCCACCTTCCCAGCCCCTCACTTGGCTTTTTTGCTCAAAGCTGGCACTCTACCACTTGAGTCAGCTCTGCTTTGGCTTTTTGGTAGTTAATTAGAGATAGGAGTCTCAGGGACTTTCCTGCCTGGGCTGGCTTTGAGCCACAATCCTCAGATCTCAGCCTTCTGGGTAATTAGGATTACAGTGTGAGCCACGGGCACCTGGCCTGACCAGCTTTGGAACATAGAGCCTGGCGCTCTCACTTGGCTTGCCTGATTGGCTGATATCTGCTGCTGGAGTCATGCCTGGGGTCCCATTTTTACTGCTTTATTCTGCCCAGGCTGGCCTTCCGCTGTGATCCTGCAGAGCTCAGCTTCCTGAGCATCTAGACACCCAGCAGGCTTTACGGATTTGGGGGTTTATTTATTTTTTTGTTGATTGTGGGGTTTGAACTCTGGGCCTGGGCGCTGTCCCTTCGCTCTTCAGCTCAAGGCAAGCACTCTACCACTTGAGCCACAGCACCACTTCTGGTTTTCTGAGTGGTTTATTGGAGATAAAGAGTCTCACGGATTTTTCCTGCCCAGGCTGGCTTTGAACCATGATCCTCAGATCTCAGCCTCCTGAGTAGCTAGGATTACAGGCATGAGCCACTGGCAGTTGGCTTGGGGGTTTATTTTTTGCAATGCTGGGGATGGAAGCCAGAACTGTGCAAGTCTAAGGCAAGTACTTGACCACATTCCAGCCCAGGTTCTATCCCAAAGAGGACCCAGGGGCCCGAGGAGGCCATTGCCAGAGATAAAACACCAGAGCCGGGCATCAAGGGTTCATACATGTAGCCTTTGTTACTCAGGAGGCTGAGGTTAGAGGATCATGGTTCAAAGCCAGTCAGGTCAGGAAGATCTGTGAGACTCTTATCTCCACTTAACCATCAAAAAGCCAGAAGTGGGGTGTTGGCTCAATTGGTAGACCCTTGAGCACAAAAGCTCAGGGACAGCACCCACCCAGACCTTGAGTGACCCCACCGGGGGACCCAGCTAAGAAGTCTCATCACCTACCAATCTGCCCAGAAGCATGACCTGAATGAGGGAGCAGCACACAGAAAGATCCTGCTGACGCATGACGTAGAAGAGAAAAGCTAAAAATGGTGAAGATGAGCAGGGGAGGGGCTACACTCGTGAGGTCACAGCCACAAGGGACAGCTGCTTAGCCATTAAGACTATGAAGACATTAGACATCTGAAGCGGAGGTGTAGTACCAGCCTTGAGAAAAAAAAGCTAAGCAGGGGCAAGAGGTCCTGAGTTCAAGCCCCAGGTCCAAGCACAAGAAAATAAAGAAAATGAAAGAAAAGAAGCCAGGCATGGTAGCACACAGCTACAATCCCAGATCCTTAGCAGGCGGAGATAGTAAGATCAAGATCCACAACCAGGGGCTGGGAATGTGGCTTAGTGATAGAATGCTTGCCTAGCATGCATGAAGCCCTGGGTTCAATTCCTCAGTACCACATTAGCAGAAAAAGCCACAAGTGGCACTGTGGCTCAAGTGGTAGAGTGCTAGCCTGAGCAAAAGTAACTCAGGGACAGTGCCCAGGCCCTGAGTTCAAGCCCCAGGACTGTCAAAAAAAAGATTCACAATCAGAAAAAAAAAACATGAGACTCTATAAAAGAAACAAAACTAAAGCAAAAAGGGCTGGGGGTGTGGCTCAAGTAGCAGAGCCAGCCTGGTGGGCACAAAGCCCTGAGTTCAAAAGAATTTTCCATGACCTACAAAATTCTCCCAGTAGTTGGGATAGAAAGCAGGACACACAAATTTGGGGGCCAACCCTGGGGCTCTGTTCCCCCACCGACACATAGAGAAAAGTCTGGAAGGAGCCTGGCCAGACCCCTGCAGGGATGGCTCTAAGGGGTTGTGGATGACACTCAGGAAGGCTCAGATTGCTCTGCACACCCAGGTTTCCTGCCTAGCAGCAGAGAGTGGCCCAGAACCCCCGCCACCCTGGGGCCTGGCCCACCTGCTCGTGCTGCGCCTTGAGCAGGGCAATCTCCTTCTCCACCTCGCAAATGTGGCTGGTGGCCTTGGCCACCTCGGCACGCTCCAGGTCACGCTCCGCCAGCAGCTGCTCGATGTGCTGCTGCTTCTCCTTCAGCGCCTCCTGCAGGGCTGTGGTGCCCGAGATCTTGCGGGCATAGCGCGAGGATGTCTCTGTGAGCTGCGGACAGAGGGGGTGAGGCCGAGGCTTGGGGACTTTGCAGGTGGGAGCCCTGTTCCCCGCCCTGCCGTGCCTGGACACGCTGGAACTCCATGCTCACCTGGACACACTTGGGGCACCCCTTGCCCAGAGCGAGGCCCTGACAGGGTCCCAGGATGCATTCATGATGGTGCCCTAGCCTTGGCCAGCACTGCCTGGGGTTGAGCTGGACAGGTGACCCTCCACCCAGCCTCCTCTCCCTCAGAAAGAGCCCTGAACCCTGCCTCTACCAATGCCTCCTCCACTGCCTGGGAAGGGCTTGCACACACAGGTCAGTAACAAGTGTAACAATAAATGTAATTGGATCAACTTTCCTATGAAAAGAAACTGACAACC